TGGCGTAGGAGCTACCGATCGGAGGACAGCATGCAGCAGTGTTCCCTCCCGGCCCAACGAGGTAGCTGGTCTTTAGGCCACTGAAGCATTCTGTCCCTGCAGCTCAGCAAGGTAATTACCAAGCCATCACTGTCCTGATTTATAAAGAAATTACCTTCCTTGGGAAAAGACAGTAAGGTGCACAGCAAGAATTCAAACAGAAGACTGTGCTAATCTTGAAAATAGAAGATGGGGAAATTTTTCTGCATTGGCTGTAATGAAGGACCAGTTTTAAAAAAACAAATGTCGAGCCCTGGCTGGTGTGGCTCATTTGGTTGGGTGCTGTCCCATGCACCGCAAGGTTGCCGGTTAGATTCTAGATTAGGGCACATGCCCAGGTTACAGGCTCAATCCCCAGTAGGGGGCATGCAGGAGACAGCCGATTGATGTTATACTCTCAGATTAATGTTTTTCTCTTCTTCTCCTTTCCTCTCTCTGTAAAAATAAATGAACTATTCTTTTTAAAAAATTAAAGATTTATAAAACACAAATGTCAAGAGAGAAATGGAGAGCTTTTCAAGTAAATTCAGCCTTCCTTTATTTGTACCCAATAAATGTTTCCAGAGGTGTGGCTAATCTTACTACTGGTCACAGGACGGGGTCCTTATGGGTGGTGTTTCAGATGATGTTCCAGAAAGTCACTTAAAAGTCATGAGGCCATAATACAGACTTCACTCCAGCAGAGCTAGGAAACTGCCTCATTCCTCTCCCTTGAATCCCGCGTCCTCACTTCCCACATTATATAATCCCAACCCCTGCACTTTCTGTTCACTGGAAGCTGTGAAGACTGAGCTTTTCAGGGGCCTCTTCTGCTTGAAAGAGGACTGGCAGGAGTGCAAGATATTAGCCAGTCAGGAGGGCAATCCAGACCAAGGTGATGGCCACACATTTGGAGGCACTCACACGGCTTCATCAGATTAGCAGTGGGCCAAAATAAAGCAAAGTGCATCACCACATCACATCAGTGTTCTTTGCATAGTTGAGGGAAGATGCTTCATAAGCCACCTGCCTCCTCTACACACATGCCTCTAGGAAAAATTTTAATTTTCTTATATATGTGCCAGTTTGGTCCTGATCAAGTTAATACAATTATTTGATCATCTAGAAATATCTTCTAAAATCTTGCATGAGCCCACTGTAGCTAAGTAGTTTCCAGGAAAGCAGTGGCTTATGAAACATTTAGGGACGGTGTTGAAAAAAATCCACTTATCCTTGAGTAAAACAAGCTTTGTATTTGTTTCCTTTTGCTACTGTGACAAATTACCACAGACTTAGTGACTTAGAACATGACAAATGTATTGTGCCACAGTTTCTGTCACTTCCAAATCAGACACCAGCCTCACCAGTTTAAAATGGAGGTGTCAGCAGGCTGTGTTCCTTACTAATGGCTCTTGGGAGAATCTGGTTCCTTCACGTAGGACTGAGGTCTCTGTTTCCTTGCTGATGGTAAAATGTAAAAGAAATGTTTTATTTTTTATCGGTTAGATAAAAAGTATATAGAATTTCCCAGCTGGCATGGCTCAGTGGTAGAGCGTCGACGTCTGAAGGTCACGGTTTGATTCCCAGTGAGGTCCACATGCCCAGGCTGCGGGCTTTATCCCCGGTATGGGGCATGCAGGAAGCAGCCAATCAATGACTCTCTCTCATCATTGATGTTTCTATCTCTCTCTCCCTCTCCATTCTTCTCTGAAATCAATAAAAATGTATTTTTTTAAAAAAGCAACATCTCTTTCCTTTTAAAAAAAATGTATATAGAATCTACTTTAAGCAGAAATTTCCAAATGACATATCTACTGACATTTTAATACAGATTATAAAGATTATTTCTAAGTAATAGATATTATAGCTTCATTGCAGTCTTTAAAAATAACCTACAAGTATTTGTTTTAATGTTATATTAATGCACAGAATTTTGCTGCGCCAGTTTCTAGCTAGACATGGAAACCACCTCCTCAAGACAGGTGTAAGGTGGTTAATGTACAAGGGGAGGATGGAACTTTTTAAGTTAGACATTGGCTCATTGTCAAACACATAGGACCAAAATTACAGTAACTGCACAGTGACCAGCACACGATGTTATTGGCTTGGAAGAAATTTTAAACAGTGAAGCATGCATAGCATGGTAGATCTTGTGTTTGGGGGAAAGGGGAGAAAAAGAAAGCCCGCCTCTACTCCACAATGAAAAACCAAAGGTACTCACCACATATTTCACTCATTCAGGAATAGGTGATTAAGAGTAGAAACCCATCCCCAAAGGCTTGTAGGACACTGCAACCCATTGAAAAAGAGACATATGCATACTTCACTCTGTTTAAAAATTTATATTGATCCTCATCCTGCCTGCAGACACTGTGGTAACTCCATCCTACCTGCTGTATCAGAGGGGTGTGTGTGTGTGTGTGTGTGTGTGTGTGTGTGTGTGTGTGTCCACCCCAGTCATTTCCCCTGTAGGGACCCGAACTTATAAATCTTTCTCATTTTCCAATATCTTTAATGCTTTAATATAGTAGCCAGTTAATAACTTTTTTTAATTTTGGAGAAGACTAGACTAGACTGGAATCAAACAAAAACTAGAATAAAGAAAAATGCTTAGATTAATATTGGCAACTTATAATGTTGACAAAGTCATTAATTCTTCATCTTTCCCATTGGTTCATTGGTTGGCCCTGCCCATTCATTGATTACCAGTAAAAGATAGGCTGAACATTATAAAATTTATTTGTGAATCAGGAGGCATTCACTGTCCCCATGGTGAACTTATTGAAAGGAAAGCGGTGTTCATGGGTACAGGAAGAGTACAGAGGATTTCAGACCAGATTCTTGGGAACTGCCAGGTGGCTGCCTGGGGCTGTCAGCAAAAAGCGATATCCTCCCCAACATGAGCTGTCCTAAGGTTCTCTAAAGTCTAAATTCCATCATTCTCTCTTTGAAGACACGACCTCCTCAGGGACAAAGAGGCAAGATTTCAAACACAATCACACATTGCCACAGCATTCTTCTGGCCAAAGAGGTCTGATTGGAATTTTTGAACAAACCTATTACTGTAAAGGCCTCAAAGCTTGACCTGATGAAAATCTCTTCGTGGAGGAATGGTCTAAAAGTGATCTCTTTACAAAACCCATGCTTCTGGTTTAGAATAATTCCAGTACGCCTCTCAACACTTTTTCCCTAGTAGGAAGTTAGTTCTTCCTTTTCCAAGGGATCTTGTCGAAAGGACGGTTTGCCACCCCAAAGCAGAATCCATAACACTTTACATAAAAACACTGTCAATATCTGTCCAGTTGTATTATCTAAGGAACCGGGGAATTTTGTTTATATTTTAAGATCAGCAAATGCCAAAAATACTAATTTGAATTGAATAACCTTTCCCAGTATTACATTAAAATGCTGGTAGATCCTATTTAATACATGTTCCACAGAACTTTTTAGATATCAAAGAAAACATTTATGTTCAGTAGCATTTTAGCATCAGGCCTATTTTATTTTATTTTAATTCCTGAAAAGCATAGTCCATCTATATTGCGCATCAAGCCCTGGGTTTCTTTCAGCTTCTCCACTTGCCACCCATGTGGCTTTTGATAACTGCTTTGAGCCTCAGTTTTCTCATATGTAAAATAGAATGAAGTGTCACAATGAAGTATGTTGCGAAAATGAAATGAGAATGTATGTGTCATTTACAGTGTGGGTGTGGAGATGTACCCTATTCAACTTTCGCGGGCTCTGTCCCAGGCCACAGATTCTTGGGAACTGCCAGGTGGCTGCCTGGGGCTGTCAGCAAAAAGCAATATCCTCCCCAACAAACTCTCCCCCTAGATTAGAGCTAGAGCAGTAGAAATTATCAGCACCAATACCCCCAAATATGCAACTGAAGACACTTTCTCGATTTTTTGAAAAAATCAAAAAAGTATCTTCAGATCGACTCCACCAGAGACCTCAGGGTGGGGTCCAACAATCTACATGAACACCCTCCAGGGGCTTCTGATACCAGCCAACTTTTGAGAGCCATTGCTCAGCCCAGATCATTCTCTCTCTTCCCCACAGCTTCTAAAATCTTTCAGTCCCTTTGAACCTCTTTCTATAAACCCACCTCCTCCGGCATCCCTCCCACAGGCTGTGTTGTTGGTAAGTCAGTCACTGCAAAAATTCTTAACTGGAACCCAATCCTCTCCATGGTTAGGAGACCAAGAACATACTTTTAGATGGTGGAGTATGAAAAAGCATCCCAAATGTGCATTTTTGACTAGGGTTATCTCCTGCTTTTTATAGGTCTGGTAACTAGGATTGTCTCATGGTTTTTATATCTCTCTGCTTCCCACCTGTGCATTGCATTACAGCAGGCTCCTTCTGTTGGCTCTAGCCCAGCATGTGCCAGTCCAAGAAGGAGTTTGGTTAATTCCTGCCTCTACAGGGGGCCATGGGCACCCCCATGGCTAAATTTTCACAGAAACCCCTCGCTATGTTCTTAGAATAAATTTCTAATTTACTCTGGCTGGACCAATGTAGGTATATTTTTGAGGCAGGTAAAATTAGCTCTCAAAAGTATTTTAGTAAGTTGGAAGCTCTGTCTTTGAAAAATGTTTCACACTTCTTAAAGAAGAGTCCTTTGAATCAAAGAGCTCTGATTCCTTCATCAATGGTAAAGGAAGGAAACTTTGAAGACTTTCCGAAAGTCTCCCATCCTCAGTGGTCACGGGACGCTCACGGATCACATGTTTGAATTCTGTGTTCTCCATTTCTCTAGTTGCATTACAGCTATCTGTGACTTCCCAGTTTTAGGATGGATTTGATGAGTTAGTAGAGGTGGTTGAAGCCATCCCTACTCAATAAAACTTCATTTTTGATAAACATTCTGAAAAGGCAAGCAAAGCGTTTTCTTTGAAACTAGGAGAGGAGGCGTGTGTGGAAGAGCATTCTTTTGGTGATCACCTTGAAGGTTGCTAACAGGTCCTTTTGCTTTGCAGGAATGTGAGTTCAGCTGGCGAGGAGGCCCGCAGGAGGATGCGGGAATGTGAGGGGCTCACAGATGCCCTGCTCTACGTCATCCAGTCTGCACTGGGGAGCAGTGAGATCGATAGCAAGGTTTGTTGTATCTGCATAGATTAAGCACCTTAGACAGTAAAGAAGCCCGAAGGACTAAGCAATGACTGACAACAGCAGCGAGCTATGTTAATGCTTTCACTCAGAAGTACATCTTGGTCTTCTTGTATGAATCCAACATTTCCAAGACAGGGCCTCTAAGCCCAGCCTAGAACTACACTTGACTCTTGATTAGCCATGAGTAGAAATTGATTGTTTTAAGTTACTCAAACCACAGGTGTTGGGGTGGGTTGGGGGGGGCACAACACAGATGAGTGTATAAACTTTTGCATACCACATTACTCTCAAACTTCTAGTTTTATATCATGAAATCAACTTTCAAAAGACAAAGAAATGTTAAAACTACCTGAGATATGAATAATCCTATATTCCTACAAGTTAGCTTTTTCACAATCGCTAATTGTACCAAAGGGCATTTAAAAAATGCCGATGAAGTGTGAGTAAATGCTATCAAAATGCTACATAAATGAGGCTGTCAGCACGTTAATTAATCATCAGTGTCTGTGCAGTTTTAGTTCACAAATCAAAATAGAACTGGTTGGGCTATTCCAGTGTCTGAGCTATTTTTGTTTGTCTTAATTTGTCTTTGTATTCACTGCAAATATAAATTTATACTTTCAGAAAATCCCGATATAAATACAGACTTTACCGGCACGTTTTAAGTAACAGGTGTGATAAATGTGATCCTTAGTAAGAGTTTCTCCAGAGCCACACTATTGACATTTTGGGCTGATTAATTCATTGTGGTGGGGGAGACAGTCCTGTGCACTGTAGGACATTGAACAGCATCCCTGGCCTTTACTCATAGATGCCTGTAGCATCCTCCCTGCTTTCCCACTTGTGTTCCACAGAAAAATGTCTTCAGATGTTGCAAATTGGGTCCCATGGGAGGCAGAATTGGCCCTGGTCGTGAACCACAGCACTAATCCCAGGGTTTCCAATGCTGACTCATCAGAATTGCCTTTGGAACGTTTAATAAACACATGAGTCCTGGAGCCCATCACAGACCTCTGAATCTCAACGTCTAACTCTGTTCTCTGATCTTTGCACCTTTAAAAATTCACCAGTGATTCAATGTGCATCTTGGATTGAGAGCCCACCTTAGTAGATGTAGCGTTAAACAGGCTCTAAGTGGGGTATGGTTTAGTGTAATTCAGTTATGAAGTCAGATAAAGAACAAATAATGGTGATTTTATCCATTTAATTACTAACTGGCATGGGGGGGTTATTTAACATAGTGCTTCTCAACATAACTACATGAGAGTGACTGGGAAATTTAGAAAAGTACTGCTGCCTGAGCCCTACTCCCTACGTTTTGGGTGGACAATATCTTCTGGGGCTCCAACCCTTTGAGTACTAGTTGACTCCAATTATGAACACTGCTTGTCATCTCATTCCTGCCACTCAGTCATGTTTGCATCCTTTTGTTTACTGTATAGATGTTAGCAATTCCCAAGACAGAATATGATATAATAAAGATTTAATTATCCCTTCTTGTAAACACCCTTAGCGGCCACTTTAATATCATTGACATGAATACTGAGTCCCTAAAGAAGTGTCCAGTCAAGATGTCTTGAGTATCCACAGATACCTGTTAACCTAATGGACACGTGTGTGTTTTTTTTAAGCTACTGAAGTTCATTCACTGAAGCCACAATGCCCGGGATCTTAATATTCAGATCAGTAAATTCTAAGACATTGAGACACTAAGCCTCTTGCCATACTGGATACCAAAAGAGTTGTAATACTGTCTGAGCCTTGCAATTGAAAATGGAAAGTCAGCAGCCTCTTGCCTTGGCCGGGGGCCATGCCACCATTGCCGGTGGGGATAGCAGCCTTCGGGAGCATGTCCAAATCCAGAGTGCTGCGGCACACTCACCTTTTTCCTGGGTATCAGATGACTAGACTCCTGAAACTATTGGAAGACTGTTGAGATTTTCCTTTAAATTCCATATTCCCCCCCAAAGAGGAAATTGGAGTAATTGGGACAATTAAACTACCTGAGATTTGAATAATCAGATGTTCCTGATCAAGTAGCAAGAGCACTGGACTTGGCACCAGGGCATGCTGGGGCGGGGGGTGGTGCCATCCTTACCGTGCACTGACTAGGGGGCCATCCCCAGTGTCCTCAACTTTGTGACAAGGAGGATCATCACGGCCTTTGAAAAGATCGCATTGATAAATTGCTCGGCAGTGCTCTGCGGGCCAGAATGTGCTATTGAGTTTTGACGTATTATTATTATTGTCCCATAATTCCCCACTCAGCCCTCCGCTTGGCCACCTCTAAGCTTTCACAGTGACAAGTTAGAAAGGGGGAAAAAAATGAGTACACATTCTCTTTACGGCCAGCCACATTAATGAATACAAGAGCCTGGATTCCATGCTCACGCTCAGCCCGGCTCCTGTAATTGGGACAGTTTGTTGAATGGGTAACATATGGTAGAGCAGTCTCTGGACAACTTCCAAATTAGCCCTTTCTAATAGAAAATAAGGAGTCAAATGACCCTGGTGACCACGAGGAACTGCTAAAAGCACTGTTGACAGCAATGGATGTCAAAAGCAAAACCACCAGCTGCCACTCGCCTTCTGCTGGCATCCCCGAGAAAGGCAGTGGCTGTCTGTCTTCTTTTTGCTGTCCCTTTAGAGAAAAGTGCTTGAATTGGTAACCCTCCCGAACCAAACCTAATGGGAGAGGGAGGGAGAGAGACAGAGAGAAAGAGATTCAGTCCCTGTGATCTCCCTCACTCCCGTCTTCTCTCTACACCACCTCCTCTCTCCCCTCCCACGCTCCCCTCCCAGGTTCTCTCCTGTTCACCTCTCCCCAAATCATCCCCCAGCCACAGGTCAATTATAAAGCATTTCTCGAAACTGCTGCAGATGTATTCCCCAGTTGTCATTTGTTAAACAGAGGCCCAGAGATGCCCCGGGGAAGATGAACAGGAGGATGAGAAAGAAGTTTATTCTCCCAAGTCTTTGATGTAAGAAAAACTCAGTTTGAGCTGATTTGAAAATCATTCTGACTTAATGCTGCAACATTTTCCTTCCAGGGAGGGACTCTCCTCTCTTTCATGCATCATCCTGTGTTTACCTGCTTTCATGCTGGTGCCTTTTTTTTATGCTGAGAGGATGCTTGAAATGGCAAATCGAGTTGACTCAAAGCCTGTGGGATTAGCAGCCATGAAACCTTGAAAAGCTGACAAGAAAGGCCTAGAATGGCAAAGGCTCTAAAGACAGATCCTGAAGATCAGTTTCCCTGGTTGATTTCCATGCCCCCACAGACAAGTCAAAGACATATCCTGCCTTTTACCAAATATCAGGCGCAGTCAGGAGAAGTGCTGGGGCCCCCCTCCAGCCCTGACCCAGAACTAGAAAGAAGTGACACAGTCCTCTGTGAGTTAGTAACAGCTTCGGATCTCGTTCCCTTCACCTGTACAGTGGAACTAGGTTCTTTGCCTGAACTGTGGCTATCACACAGTAGGTGCCTGAAAAATAATGAAATAACACTTACTTCGATTATATTTTTTCCACTATTATTCTGTTCTTTTACATTAGGTATTTTTTCCCTTAGCCCACAGTTCCTCAAATCCATAATGAAGGCCAAAAGACTGATGTTTGGGCTGAATGTATCCTCACCAAATTCATATATTGAAACCTAATCTCCAATGTGATGGTATTTGGTGGTGGGGCCTTTGGGAGGAAATAGAGTCACAGAGAGGTTTAGCCCTCTGCCTACAGCAAGGTCACAGCCCCTTAAAAGGTAGAGCCAGGACACAGATGCAGACGGACCAGCTGTAGGTCATATGCCCTGGGCCTCCCCGAGGTGCTGTCTCCGCCACTGTTTTTGATATGAGTCCTTGTGTAGCCTCTACTGTGTGCCAGGCACTCTCCTCAGTATGTACACAACGGGTCTGTTTCCTGTTGCTGCTGTAACAAATGGCCACATACACAGTAACTGAAAAACACAAATGTATTGTCTTATCATTTAGGCCAGGAGTCCAAATGGGTCTTGTTGGGCTAAAATCAATGTGTGGACAGGGCTGTGCTCCTTCTGGAGGCTCCAGGAAGAAGCTGTTTCCTGGCCTTTCACAGCTTCTGGAGGCTGCAGGCATTCCTTGGCTCCTGGCCCCTTCTTCCATCTCTACAGCCAGCAATGGCAGGTCATGTCCTTCTTACCTCAGTTCACTCTAACTCCTCTGCCTCCCTCTTTCACCTACAGGAGACTCATGATTTACACAGGTCCACCTGGATAACCCAGGATCATCTCCCCATCTCAAGGTCATCTGAGTGGCAACCTTATTCCATTTGCAACCTCAATCCCCACACCACATAATCTAACATATTCACGGGCTCCAGAGACTCAGATGTGGACACCTTGGCGGGACATTATTATGCCTGCCTCACTTACATCCTCTAGCTCACCTAATCCACACAGCAAACTAAAGCATGGGTATAATGATGACCATCTTACAAAGGAGGTTATGGAGCCATGGAGATGCTGGGTGCCTTGTCCAAGTCAAACAGCCAATATTCAGAGACCTAGGGTCTAGCTCTGCAACATGTGTCCTTAGCCACTGTTTAGCCCCTTTACTGAGAAAATAGGAGCACTGGCCATCTCAGAAAAAATCAGTAGCTTGATAAATGTATGCCCCCAGGTGACCACAGCACCTAGTGTGCCTGGGACAACTCTGGTTTGCGTCTCCTGCCCCCTTCTACTCCCAGAAAGTGCCCTGGTAAATATTGGAGTCACCCTCCCAGAGCTGATGGAAATCCGATCATCCATGCATTTGGTGATTCTGAGCCCCAGGCCCCAGATGTCTGTTAAGTGGACAACATCTGGGTCCTCTTGTGATTGTAGGTTCTTTCCCACTCACAAGCGAATTTCAGTCATCAATGGCAGCTAACTGTAGAAGTAACTATTCTTGATAACTAGTTTCTTTGTGGGGAGAAAAAGTCTTAAGACCTCTCTAAGCTTCTCAAATTCTTTCCATTGTGGTTGTCAAGGGAACTTTAAGAGCCCACAGCTAAATGCATCTAAAGAGAAATGTGTGTGTGGAGACTGATGGCTTTTTTGGATGGAGTGCTAGCTAGTTTTTATTCATCCCTGTTTCCTTTTTCTGGGTTCTGCAGACCGTTGAAAACTGTGTGTGCATTTTAAGGAACCTCTCGTACCGGCTGGCGGCAGAAACGTCTCAGGGACAGCACATGGGCACGGATGAGCTGGACGGGCTGCTCTGTGGGGAGGCCGGTGGCAAAGACGCGGAGAGCTCCGGGTGCTGGGGAAAGAAGAAGAAGAAAAAGAAGTCCCAGGACCAGGTGATGCACGACTCGCAGCTGCATGCAATTATCCCCTTCCCCAATTGCAACATTAATATTTCGTCTGCGTGTATAGGTACAGGGCTTTCAACGTGCGGGAACATCACTAATGCATCGGCACAATTTCCCGGTGGGAATTTCACAGCTGAGACAGTGGCACATTAAATGACTCCCCCATGTCCTGCCAAGATAGGGAATTTCAAAAGGAGAACAGGCAGACTGTAGGGTGCCAGCTCATAAAGTCAGACCCAGGAGCTGCTTCTTCCATGTGTGGATTCCCACATTTATAGAGGTCCCTGGGGGATCCAGGTGAGGTGCCTCTCAGGTGGTTCTGGGGCACAGAATAGGTGTGGCCTAAAGAAAAGAAGCTGAGGGAGAGAGATGCATGAAAATCCAGCATGCATTTCATGTAGCGTTTTGAAACGTCAGGGCATGTGATCTCACTCTGGAAATGGGGTGGCAGCCTGAGACTCACAGTCCTTCCAGCAGAATGACATCAGAAGCTTGGCTTCGGGGGTCGATCCCATGAATTCAGAAAGCTGCCTCGCTGGAGAGGCCGCTGCAAAATGGAGCAGCCTTTACCTGTGAGTAGGTTGCCCTGTAGTGAGGTCAAGGCCAAGAACAGCCTCTGTTCCCTTCCCCGGGAGCCTCAGGGAGGCTGAACCCCTCACCTACCAGCCCCCCAGGTGAGGGAGTATGTGGAGAAGTGCCCATCCTGCTGCCGACCAGACACCCCTGCCACTGGGCTTCCCCATCTCCTCTTGGCACTGTGGTCACTTGTCCAACTTTCTCCTGGACACTGTGGTCATCTCCCAGCTCTAAGGGTTGTACCCAAGGTCTGACTGTTCCTGGGCTCAGATGCCAGAGAAAACGGAACAGAGCCCACAACACTCTCTCTTGACAGGTTAATAATTCAAAAGAAACATGCTAAGTATGTTTAGATCACACCACATCATTTTAAAAGTATTTTAGAAACCATTTCACCTTGAGCAAGGGTTAAAAGAACTATTTTATTAAGAGTAAGGATTGGTGGGAATGCATTTTTTTTATTGCTAAAAGTATTACAAAGGTTATTACATATGTTTCCTTTTTTTTCCCCCCGCCCTTGACAATTCCCTGGCCTCCCTTACCCCCCAGTGTCTTATGTCCATTGGTTATGCTTATATGCATGCATACAAGTCCTTCGGTTGATCTCTTACCCCCCTCCCTCCTGCCCCCCAACCCTCCCTGGCCTTCCCGCTGCAGTTTGACAATCAGTTTGAGGCAGCTCTGCCTCTGTATCTATTATTGTTCAAAAGTTTGTAATGGTCTTTATTATCCATGAATGAGTGAGATCATGTGGTATTTTTCCTTCATTGACTGGCTTATTTCACTTAGCATAATGCTCTCCAGTTCCATCCATGCTGTTGCAAATGGTAAGAGTTCCTTCTTTTTTACAGCAGCATAGTATTCCATCGTGTAGATGTACCACAGTTTTCTAATCCATTCATCTACTGATGGGCACTTAGGCTGTTTCCAGATCTTAGCTGTGGTGAATTGTGCTGCTATGAACATATGGGTGCACATATCCTTTCTGATTGGTGTTTCTGGTTTCTTGGGATATATTCCTAGAAGTGGGATCACAGGGTCAAATGGGCGTTCCATTTTTAGGTTTTTGAGGAAACTCCATACTGTCTTCCATAGTGGCTGCACCAGTCTGGGAATGCATTTTTAAATAGAATTCCTAAGTTTGACTTGAATGCGTCAGCATTAGCATTTTTGTAGATCCCAGGTCTCTAGCTGTGCGTGGGCCCAGAGGGCTGCTCCAGATACTTCCACAGACAGATCTGTATGTTCCAGTGTAAACACACCTGTAGTTTAGGAGGTACATGTGCGCTGCTTCTTTGATGATGACCTTCTGCTCTGAACACTAAATTCCCAGCCTTGCATTTTCTCCTGTTGTGGGTCAGTGCCCAGAGTCTTCTGTCCTTGCCCTGCATCAGAGGAGCCTTTTAAGAGGATTGAGCCCTGGCTCTTAATTCAGCCCCTTACAGCCGGAATAAAATGAGGGAATAAAATGGCCAGCCAGCAGGTATTTATTGAACATACTACGTGATGTCAGAGACCTCAGTTTTCCTACCTGGTACTTAAGAGAGCCAGGCCATTGTGGCTTCTGAACATTTTCAATCTCAAGTAAACTAAACCTGGCCTTACAAAGGTATAATAGTTCTCAGCACTGTGATCCCATTGGGCTCAGGCCCTGCTCTGTTTTATTCTGAAAGGGAGCAGGCACCATAATGATTGCAAGGAAGAGCAGCAGGCGGGCAGGAATAGGGTTCTTCCCAATCTGCCCAGAGATCACAACCCCTGAGGCTCTCACACCACCTGAGGACTCAGAACCTCTGGACAGCCCCGGGCAACCTCAGAAGGCATATTTGGGAAGTCGCCTTAATACGATTTTTGCCTTGACTAAAAACACTTCAAACTGAGGCTGAAGTCATTCTGATTACAACAAGGCTTTCTCTCCAGTCTGATGCTCGGATTCTAAAGTGCTTCCTTCTGATGTCCCTGGCGCCTGTCACTTGGTATCTCATTTAGTAAGACTTTGCCTTGAACTCTGACCCCTTTCTCCACTGTTGCCAAGGTGCGCTCACCTGGCTTGAAGTCTTTCAAGTGACAGGTGAGATTAGGGGTTCACTGGGTCCAGAGGAATCAGAGGTCAGAAGAGAACGTTTCTGGACTTCACCCCGAAATAGAGCCCTGCTTTCAAGCTGTTAGCTGCGTCCTGAAACCTTGTGGTGAGCAATTCTCTAGGCTTAGAAAGCTGTCCTTTGCGCCGTTTTATCACATCAATGAGCTCTTTCCTGAGTTGAGTAAAGTGGCATAATTAATACAATTTTATGATTTTTGTCAGTCTAAATGCAAATTTGTATGGTTCGTTTGTCTCATTTTTTTATTACAGTATTCTTTAAGAAGAAAAAGAAGGTTTCTGTTTTTAAAATATTTTTATTGATTTCAGAGAGGAAAGGAGAGGGAGAGAGAGAGAGATAGAAGCATCAATTATGGGAGAGAATCATTGATTGGCTGCCCAGTGGGAATCGAGCCTGCAACCTGGACATGTGCCCTGACTGGGAATCAAATTGTGACTTCCTGGCTCATAGCTTGACACTCAACCACTGAGCCTCACCAGTCGGGCAAAAGAAGGTTTCTTTAATGAGTTTTGCTGAAACTACTTTAAGTTAAATACAGTGGAATACTGTTGTTTATAAGGAAGTTTCAAAGTTACAGTTTCAACCAAGTGATAGTTTTTTAAAAGCTTTTTAACTGGGTTCTTTATAATACAGAAATTTTGAAGTGCCCAAAACTTAAGTATCAAGCTTAATGAGGATGTAAACAGATAACAATTATTCTTTTTTAAAAGACATTTGAGTATGTATTGTCCAGTTCAATTTATTTAAAGACAGTTGAAAATAAAAACTCTTTTGCCTTTAAAGACCGATGGAAGGGAATAGAAGCCTAAAGACCTGGGCCTGGGAGGAGAGTGTAGGCAGGACATAAGATGATGTGAAGAAGGAGAATAGGAAGGCACCATCAAATCCAGGGTGCCTCCTAGCAGGGTGACCCATCCTAGGGAGAAAAGAGAGTCAAGATGGAGCCACCTGCTGGCAAAGATTGGCATTTGAGCCAGCTTAGGGTCTCTGCAGGAAACAAGTGCTTCACCCTAAGGATTTCCTCCAGTCGTTTGCACTTGGGTGGAAAGCAGGCCGCCATTACAACAAAGGAGCCCAGGAGTCTAAAGGACTTAAAGTCTGGCTGCCTGGAGTGAGAGACGGAGCCCCGATTCACCAATTTTAATAGGTTGCAGCAACATGAGAAATAGATGTGTCCCAGGCCTCTCTGGGACAGCCCCATCTTAGCCATAAACCAGACCAGCAGGTTACCTTCGGAAGCTGCAAAGTGATTTATCTCCTCTAGCAGCTTCTGGAGAGATCTAGGTTTATAGCTTCAAAGATGGTCAGATATCATCCATCCCCTGGTATCTCTACTCCTTGTCAAATCAGGTTTTTAAAAAACTTGTAGTGAATTTAAAAAAATACAATACAAAGTGAAGTGAAGAAAGAATACAAAAGTAGGTGGGTGCACAGGTACAGATATGATGTAGGTTAAACACAGCCAGTTTTGTAAAATAGGTGACATATGCAAATATGAAATATATGCATGTGCAAAAAAAAAAGTATGTTTCTAGCAAAATTGTAGTAGCATCGACAACAGGATTGTGATTGATTCTTTTTGTGCTTATGTATTTACAAATTTTCTACAATGGGCCTTCAAACACCATTTAAAAAATAATATTCAGAAAGGCACTAACTGCTTAAGTCAGTGTTTGCTTGTAAGAAGGTAGAAGTTTTCTTCTCTTAAATGTAAGATGTCTCAGAGGAAGGCACAGGGGCTATGTAAATACAAAGTGGTTTAATCCGTAACAGATTTCCCAGGACATAGGAGCCAGAGGTTTCACCAGGAAGCAAAAGTGATGAAAATCACCACTGATTTAATGACTGCCTCTGGCGCATTCTGTATCCCAGGAGCGTATGTTGACTCTTACCTTTGGCATTGATGTTCTGTGCATAAGAAAAATACTATACCATTCTTCAGGTTAGATTTAGCTTTAATAAAAATCTCAGAAACATTTTCATTAGATCCCTGATATGGATAATTCAATATGTGATACAAAGATATGCTTCATTCATACTTTATTTCAAGAATGGTTGTTGTTGAAATGGACTAGAATGATCAGACTAAGGGCCTCTGTGTGTGAAGTATTTGACAGTTCTATGCATCATATTCTAGTCCAAACGGGCTTTGCTAATTCATTAATTCTCCAGTCTGTGTTTAGAGCCTATTGCTGAATTATAACAAATTGCTAGTTTCTCTAGCCCTTTCTGGGCAGAACCTCCGCCAAAGCAGTCTGCATGGCCTGTGCCAGGAAGCGCATCTCACCTGGCAAGGCGCTCACTGCCTAG